AGACCTTGCCCCGAAAGTAGAAATTAAAGACATGAAAAATAAAAGGCATATTTCAAGAATGAAATGTGGGACAGTCATCTTTAATTGCAGGCCCAATGGCAGCAAATCCTAGGGCCGTGGTTTCTCTTTCTCCATTCCTGCGCATTTGCGAATGAAGCTACCTTCCAAGGCGAAAGATTGGAATCCTTGATCAGTGAGGTTCTTATCTTGAATCATCCAGCCCTTTTTTCTGAATTTCCAACACCAGTTAGATAGGTCCAGCTTGATGTTCCTCTTGATAATAGGTAAGTTTATATCCTCATTTCCGAACATAATAGCAACGTAGTGTTTCCAAATTGACCAGGCTATAATTCCAGGAAGAATTATTCTCATGTTGCCTTTAAGCGTGCCATGATGTGATTTGAGATTCCACTCCAAAATGTGTTGCTTTAGGGTGATACCTGTTTTGATTTTAGGGCCATCAAAAATTAGTCTCATATCTTCCCATATCTTCTGTATTTGGGGACATTGAAGAAGGTAGTGATTCATATCACCATCATTCTATAGGCATGTAGGGCATTGGGAGGGATAGCTATAGTGGAATTTGCAAGTATTTTCAGGAAAAGGGAGGATGTTGTTGTTGACTTTCCAAAGAAAGAGCTGAATTTTAGGTAGCTGCAATTTGTTCCAGTTGAATTTATCACTGATTTGCAGAGTTGAGTGGTTTCTGCAGTGATTATAGGCTTCCTTAATGGAGATGTGGACGACCTCTATTTCATCTTCATCTTCTTGGTAAGGTGTGATGTCTCCCATGAATTCTTCAGCTGAGTCGTTAATTCTGCAAATCCTTTTTCTGATGGGGGAATCAGTTAGTTTCTCAGAGAAGTTCTGAATACTGTATTTTGCTCTCATGATTTGGGCCCAATTGTTGTTGTTGAATCTGAAGTTCCACCAAAGTTTGATAGAGTAGGCAAACTGCAGCTCCTCTAAGTCTCTGATTCCCAGTCCTCCTTCTTCCTTGGGTAGGCAAATGTTCTCCCATTTTGTCCAGTGGTATCTCTTATTGTTATTGGTGTGTCCCCAAAAGAAAGTTGCCATCATCTGTTGAAGCTTGTTTATAACTGATTTGGGTAAAGAGTGGACTGCCATGTNGTGGAGAGGAATGGTAGACAAGACATGTTTAATAAGAATTAATCTCCCCATCTGACTGAGGGTCTTGCTGTACCATTTCTCAATGTAGTTGCTAAAGTGAGCGATTAGATCTCCACAGTCCCCTTTCTTAAGCATCCCTTTACATATTGGGGTCCCCAAGTACTTGAAAGGTAGTGTGTCTTTTTTCATGCCCAGAATTCTTTCCATCTGTAGGGTTGTATATGTGTTAACTCCTTTACCACAATAGAATCTGCTCTTATTATAATTAATCTCTTGGCCTGATGCTTCTTGGTATTTCTTGAGGATCTCCTTAACTTTGATCAGGTTGTTGCTTTGACTATTACAAAAAATGATAACATCATCTGCATAGGCCAAATGGCTGATCAGTTTCCCTCTTCCAGTGTTGAAGTTTGTAATATAACCTGTGGACATATAGAATTTCAGAGCCCTAGACAGACCTTCACTGGCTATGATAAATAGCAGAGGAGAGAGGGGGTCCCCTTGCTTGACCCCTCTTTTCATTTGGAAGAATCCTGTTGGACTGCCATTAATCAGTAGAGATAAGTATGTAGAGTTAAGATTTGCCATTAAAAGGTGTTGTGCGTGAGAAGAGAAGCCCACTTTGCCTAGAACTCCTTGAATGTATTGCCACTCCAGTTTATCAAATGCCTTAGCCATATCGATCTTTAGGATAACATTACCCCCTTTAACCTTGTAATCCAGCTTGTGGACCATTTCCTCCACCAAAAGAATCTGTTCATCCACTCCCATTCCTTTTTGAAACCCAGTCTGTTCAGGGGAGATAATTTTGGGAAGCAGAAGTTGGATTCTGTCAGCAAGAATTCTAGTGTTGATCTTGCTCATAAAAGTGGATAAGGAGATGGGTCTGTAGTCATTGAATGTCTTGGGGTTATCTGTTTTAGGAATAAGACTTAAGAAGGTACTCCCATAACATTTAGGCACCAGAATCCCAATGAAAAATTCCTGAGTAGCACTGATGACATCCTTTTTTATTGTGTTCCAGCAGGTTCTGAAGAAGCATCCATTGAAGCCATCTGGACCGGGGGCACTCCCAGGGTTGAGAGACCAAACAGCCTCTCTAATCTCATCTTCCAGAGGTAATTTGCAGATATTCTCATTATCTGTCTGTGTTACCAAATTCTCCATGAGTTCTAATATGGGCTCCATATTAATATGATTGCTAGAGCTAAAGAGATTTGAAAAATGTTCAATAGCTAACTCCTTTATAGAGTCCATGTCATTAACACTCCTGCCATCACTATCTTGGATAGTTCTAATCTTGGATTTAGATCTCTTGTCTTTGACATAACCATGAAAGAATTTTGAGTTGCAGTCTCCTTCTGAAATCCATTTGATATTTGCCTTCTGTTTCCAGAAGCTCAGTTCATTGTTAGTGGCAATTATAAGCTGGGCTCTGCATTTGTGTCTTCTTCCCTCTTTGCAGGGCTAGGGTCTTTCTCATATTCATCCTGAGCAAACCTGGCCTTTTCTTCAGCTTCCATAAGGTTAGAGAAAATATTTCCAAAAGTTTCAATGTTCCACTTCTTTAAGACTTGTTTAAGCCCCTTGAGTTTGAGTCCCAGACCAATCATACCTCCATAATTATGATTTTTGCTCTAGAAATCATGAACCAAGTTATGGAAAGTTGGGTGGTTGGTCTAAGAGTTAATGAATCTGAATGGTTTTGGCCCTCCTTTGTCTTCTTTAGTGCATTGTAAAAGTAGGGGTTTATGGTCAGAAGTAGCTTTGCTGATGTGCTTTACAGAGATATCATCATAATGAATCAGAATTTTGTTGTTCACCAACACTCTGTCTAGCCTTCTATAGACCATACCATTCCTCCTTCCCCCAGACCAAGTGAAGGCAGAACCTATAGTTGGGGGGGTAGTGAGATCACAGGATTCCATGCACTCTTTGAAATCATCCATATCTGATTGCTTGGGGAGGTTCATGTCTTTATGTTCTGACCATTCTGCTATAATGTTGAAATCCCCTCCAACTACCCACTGACATGCAGGTGATTGGAGTGAATTAAGATCCTACCACAGTTTCCTCCTTTCTGAGCCAGAGTGTTTACCATATACAGTGGTAATTCTTATATTCTCCATTGTGTCATTAATAGTGAAATCACAATTGAGAAATTGGTCCCCTTGAGAGCTGTTGTTGAAACATAGGGCTTTCTCATGCCAAAACACCCATATTTTATTTGAGGTAGAGCCAAGGAAATTAGAAAAACCCATTTGCTTGCTGTAGAAGTGAATCTGATCAGCTGAAACAATGGGTTCAATAACTGCAAGGAAACAGAAGCTATGATTTTTATTCAGCACCTTGATCCTTTTGAGAGAGGACCTAACTCCGCATACGTTCCAAAAT